GCACGAGCAAGCCGCCGTCGAGGATGCGGGAGCCTCCGACAGAGAAGGTGGTGATGGCTTCGTGGCGTCATCTTCCTCCTTTTTCGGAAGAGATTGTTAATTAGCGTGATTAACTGCTGCTTTTGCTGTGCGAAGCCCAGGTCTGAGCCTTGGCGAGGCAGGCGCTGAGGAGACCTAAGCGGTCAGTACGGTGGGGACGGGAAACGATAGGCTTTTGAACAGAGGATGTAGAAATCCTTTTTTTCTTTTTTCTTCTTCATTTTTTTTTTTATTCTGTCTGGGTCTGAGTGGCACACTCTGCCCTTTGGGCTGGAAGGCGCGTCGTTTGATTCTGCCCAGCATTGCTCAGCTCTTCCCCTGCATGCAGATTGCTGTGTGCGCAGGAGCTGCATGCTACAGAAAAGAGGAGGAAAAAAAAGGGGTGGGGGGGAGTTTGCTCTTAAATCTTTCTCCAGGTGGAAAATGGGGAAAGCTTTGTATACACTCAGACTTTGTCTAGAATGAGCCCCTTTATACCCATAAAGACTTCAGAGGTATTTTGGGGTTTCTGCCCCTGTTTGTGCTGCATTACTTTCCCAGTAGCACTGTTAGAAAGTATTATTTCATTAAAAGCTGGTGTCTCTACATCAGAATGAATTAGTGGCAGTGGTGGGCTTTATTTTAGTTTATTTTTTTTCCTCTCAAATCTTGTTGAGCTGTAGGAAAGCCTCCTCCTTCTTTCCTACCCTCCAAAAAGGAACTATCAAACAAAGTATGTTATATCAAATTAAACATGGCACTGAATATACTCTGGCAAGTCATGGTAATAAATTCAAGTTCTGAACAACAACTAGATGGAAGAGCCCATGAACAGCAATGATTCGAAAAAATCCAGTACACAGATCTAGTTTAAGTCAAGGAAATTCTGAAAATGAGGCCCTAAGGATTATCCCACTTCTCTCCTATAATAGATGCTACTGAATTCTGCTTATTGAAAGAAATAAATTTTAATGTAGGCATTCCAGCACTTGCAAAGTGTACGTATGACAGAGCTGAAACCAGGTGAGGAATTGTACATTGTTTGAGGGTCTCAGAGGATACTCTGAACTGTGGAGATGAAGGTTTTTTAAAATTCCTGGCAGTGTCTGGAAAATCCACTCCAGTATTTGTAAGTTTAAATTATTTTGATGGTTAGAAATGTCTGCTTCCTTTGAACTGTTCTTTTCAGCTTAATTTAAAAATATATAGAAACCATTGGGAGGAAAATCAGCTTCTCTATGGCAAGATTAGATAAAGTGGCATTTATAACAGGCACATGGCTGTGACCAAAGGTTCTGTGAAACTTGATTTTTAGCTTGGAGGTGGTTTCCTCCTGGTCCTCACTCCCTCCGAAAAATAAAATTAAAAAAAAAAAGAAAGGAAAGAAACGAAAGGAAAGAAAAAGGAAAGCTACAAGTCAATGAGAGCATGGGCTATGAGCCAGCAGTAAAACCCCACTCTCCGGCAGCAGTGCAGTTCCCGGGTGCAGCAGAGGATGGCCTTGCTGGGCAACGCTGTGGTTTCTTGCTGTCCCCGCCGCACCGCTCGCCTCAGAGCTGTATTCATGGCATAAATGGGATTGGGTCCTATGAACACTGGCCAGCGAGGAGTCGCATTATATATGACAGACACCTTTGCCCAGCCTGCTCAGGATAGCAGCTGAATGCTGCTGAACATCCCTCCTGCTGCCCCAGGTCACCTCCCTCTCCTGAAATTTGTAGGAAACAAAGCGTGGTCCCTGGCCACCTCCAACTCTGCAGATTCCCAATCAAATTGCAGCTGTCATGGCTTGCATTTGTTGTGGTGCTTTTCCTCAGATAAATTTAGCTCTAAAATAAAGTTCTAAATCCCATACCCCAAGGCTATAGCTCTGTGTGCACACACAGAGAGGCAAACAAATTTATTCATAATAAAAAACACATACAAGTAGGCAGGGTTTAGCTGAAAAGATCTACCAGTACTTGCAATAGCAATGCTATTATTATTATGCTTCCTGTTTGAATCCAGTATTAGAAGGAAAGACCAGTTTGAAATTGGATTTGATTCTGGACACAGGAGAGGAGGGTAATTTGTAACATGTTGTGTTATTACCCCAAACTAAACTAAGAGACAGCAGAATTAATTCATTGGCATATACTTCAAGTTTTGCTAAAATGTATGGAGTACTGGAAAATAGCTCATTTACTTGTGTCCTTTATGTTCTCCAAGCTTTCCTAGGACATTTTATACACACACACACATATATATACACATACATATATATGTATATAGTTAAGTTTTCATTCTTGGGCTTGATTGATTGTTGGTGACAGATACAACTTGTGTTCTCCATTTCTATTAAGTAGGAGGGCTTTTTTATATATAATATTTCTTACACTCAGAGTCAGTTGGAAACTAAACGCAGGAAGAACTATTTGAGGGGTACGTACCTCCTTAAATTTGGGCCTGTGCTCATGCATAAAAAAATAAGTCTTTTCAGGACCTCATAAAAGCAATGAGATTAGACACAGGGTCAAATACTGTGGTTCATCCTGGGAAGTCTGTGATGGCCAGTATTTTTCAGTAAATACTGTTCTACTGACCTCTCTCCCCGCCCTTAACAAGTTTAGCATCCACACATTCCCTGTGTTTCTGAAACGAGGTCTTGCTGTTGCTTATAAAGGTATATGCTAAACAACCATAGCGTCCCTTTTGGGGAGCAGGTAGTTATTCATGTCGTAGCTAGGTCTCATTAATTATTGGCTGTCTATGTAAAGCACTCTCCAATTATACCACCAGATACCTGTTGTTAAGCTACATTAATCTTTGCCTTCATTGTGCTTTTTTCCATAGCAAATTCCCTTGCATCCCTCAGAGTTGCCAATTGTTCCTTGGTGCCTGATGTTTTACAGTCTCCTGTCCTGATTCTTCCCGAACATCTTTGTATCATAAGTACTAGGTACTCCTCAACTTTCCGTTCTTCTCCCTGACCATGTGGCCATAGCTGCAACAGTAAAGAAAGCCAGGGGGACATGCAGTTTAAGAAAGACTCTTTTTTTTTTTTTTTTTTAGTGTAATCTTCATTTTCTAAAACATTAATTGCAATGCTGTCTTTATAAACCTTGTTCTTTTTTCCCATAGGATTTGCAAATAGAACGAGAGAGAACCGTGTATAATATTTCTGGTGGCTGCACAGCCCTTGTGGTGGTGTATTTATTGGGGAAGCTTTACGTGGCAAACGCTGGCGATAGCAGGTGAGTAAGTGTGGTGTCTCCCCAACTTTTCCTTCACCCCAAGCTCCCCAGGTCTGGTATTATCAAATTCCTTAGTTGCAAACGGTATTACAAGTGGATTCTGTTTCTTGGGTGGATGCTTCATGGTTCTCATGGAAATAGCAATGATAGGCTTCCAGTATCCTGTCAAGTGGTGGTTGCAGTCAGGGAGGTTGATGACACTTCTGGCCCTGTAGCAGTTTCTGAATGACTTGGTGGTTGCAGGGAAGTGGAAAGAGGCTAAAGAGCCATTGAAACAGAAGAGATGTTGAGTGTGTAGAATTGTGTGTTGAACACTGACAAGGTGACTGTGTCTGGAACAGCTGGTAGAGCTGGACTGATTCAGTAGGAAGTCCTGTGGTCCCTGTCGCCAACTTTAGTCTTGGAAGGCCACCTGGCTCTCAGATTTTGATATAATTGAAGGTAGTCATCTGAAAGCAATTAGCTGCTACTCTTTCAACAGGAGGGGAGAGGAGGGAGACAGACTACCACAGGTGACGATTTTTACTTTGTCCTATTCTGGCTCATGTACTTGTCCATTTTTCAGAACTGAATGTCGTTGTTCAGAAGTTGTTACTTTGTTATATTTTGAGGTTGGATGCCTGAAGACTCCTGATGAGAATCTTTGTCTTCTGATTTAGCTAAAGCTAGGAGTGTACTGGAAATCTCTCACTTGCATTCTTTCCTCCTCTCTCACTTGCGTTCTTTCCTCCTCTCTCACTCTCTTGCCCATATGACCATCAGAGAGAGATAATAAGGCTGTTCTTGTGAGACTTCAGACCTTCACATGTTTCTTTCAGCAGTACTCTGCATAAACAGGCCAGGGAGAATAGTTCTCCACATGTTACGGACTGCTGTTGTGTTCTGTTAGTTAACAGCTGAGTAATTAAAGGCTGCAAAGGTACTGAGTCATGTTGTCTTTAGGTGAAGACTGCTATGGTTATGCGTTTGTGTTTGAGGTTTGTGCACACACAGTTCATGTTTGTAGTGTGTACACTCATGTATTTACAGAGACAGCACTCAAGGACAAAGAGTTTTGTAGTTTAAACATAACGTTTTTGTTGTCTCTTGCTGCTTTAAACTGTATAGGAAGTCAGATAAATCTTTTGTGCATAAAGTTCCTATTCTTCTAATGTTGGTGATTGTTCTTAAGATGCTGAATTTGCTGTCACCTCTTGACAAGTGACATATTTGAATCTCCTTTTCGCATCAAATGTCAAGTGAGCCCTCACAGAGGGTAGCTGCAAACATGTTTGAGCAGACCACCTATCCAGTCATCAGAACCACTAACTGCACTGCATTCTGCCTCTCTTGCCATTAAATCAGAAATAATCATGTTTCCTTGTGCTATTGCACTTGAAGTACTGTTGAGTCTCTTCCATCGAGTTGGCTAAATTGCTTTATTGCCTCTTAAAAGCATGCTGTGTAAAACTGGCCATGCAGGCACTACTTCTGAGTACTTGAGATCTTTGTTCTTAAGTGACTGGGACTGGCAGCTTCCAGTTCCCCCAGGATTCCTCCTCTGCTCCCCAAGAGCAGCCTCAGCTCCGTTGCAGCCTCTGACACCCAATGGGGAGAAACTCTTGTTTACAGTGAGCTTGAATTGGCACCGGTGTCCACGAAAATTAAAGACATTAAGTCTTCAAGAGGCTTTGAATGTTCATTAAGCCCATCCAAAACATTACTTCGGAAAAAGAGGAAGAGCAGGAATTAGAAGGGAAGCCATCGGCAATGCTGGGTCTTACTTGAACCAGAACTCAAATTTTTCTACTCATACCTCCATCTTGTTGGTAACAGCCTCCCTCCAGATCCAAAATATTTTGGTTTTGCACTTTCCAAATGAATGTCACAGAAACCTTCCTCACACTGAGCAGAATTCTCTGGATTCCCCCAAATCTTTCACTTTCAAATAAGCCCACTTCTAGATTTTCCTAGCTCAAGAAACTAAAAGCTTTAAAGCCTAGAAGATCATTCAATCTAGATCTCTCTCCTGCCAAATCCCCACTTCCCATGTTTCAGGGGAAAAAACAGCTATTGCAAAACATCTAAGCTGCTCCACATCACTAAAACGACACTTTAGGACTAGAAAAGCAGCTCTGAGGTTGTCCGCCTACTGCCAGGGTGCACAGTGCATTCCTGTATTTTTTAAGAGCCCAGTCACGTAGCCAAGAAGTTTTATTCATCTTAGTTGGAAAAATATGTTCCTTTTTGCTGTCTCATGCCTTGTGTGGTCAACTTTGCAGTTTGTACAGATACAAATGAGGGCTGTGAGAAATACAATAAGGAAACTACTTTAAAAAAACATGTTTGTCTGCTCTTGAGAAGAAAGGTGGGGTTTGTTTTTTCACCCAAACAGGGGACTTCTGCTTGTTGCTGTTGGAACTAGATGCTGAAACCTTCAGTTCTTCAGCAGAGCTTTAGTTTCTTTGAGTTTACCTACTCATTTGTGCCTCTTCTCTGTCCTCATTCTCCTTCTCCCCTCTCCAGTCCCCCACTGGAAAAAGCCTACAGATAAATCAAGCTACACTTCCCACAGACAGAAGTCTGTGAGAGAAGGTTTCGTGCTGCAGGGGTGGGAAATAAACATTTTGAGTTCATTCAAACCTCATTTGTACTGCCTCTGCCCAGAAGGTTAAGTCTTTTAATTCCAGGCAACTTCAAAACAGCAGAAGGTTTTAAAGGTGGGTTTTGAACAGCTTCTGCTGTCACAGGCCCAAGGTATGTACAACAAACTGTTACTATCACAATGAGACTAAGGAAACGCCAAGTGTGAGACTTGAATAATAATGTTACGCAGTGCCAGCTATACCTCAGACTTATGTCTGTGGTATTCAGTTTAACCACCAAAGCTTCTCAAATCTAATCATTTCATGCCACGTACCCTGGCAGTATTGTATAGCAGCTGTCCTTTTGTAGTTGATATGTAATTACATCATGAAAAGACTTTAATTACCATATTACTAAATTACCAGCCAGCAATCCTTTCAGGTTCAGCCCTAGCTCACTTCTGTATGGACTATTAGGCTTCTCCAAGCTGAACACTTTTGGTTGGTGTAAAAGGGAGGAAAAATTGTGCTAATTGTAGGTTTTGTTATGAACTATTATTGAGCTTGATGTTATGGCATCACTAATGTCAATGATATAATTAAACTTCTGCTAACGATGCAATCACAGTTCTGTAATAATTATACGTTAACTGCACATGATACCAGAACCCTACTAAAAATGAGGTGATGTATTCAGAGCCTGATAAAAACAACTTGGAGGGAGCCGCTTTCATTCTCTAATGGCTTGTCTGATCATTCTTGGACTCTGCCATAAATATACTTACTTGTACAGTCAAAATTAATGTCTGAATATTGGCCAAAGCTTTTTCTAATGTTTCTCTCTCTCTCTTTCTTCCTCTAAATGGTTAGCATTGTCCATGCAAGGTTATCTAATTAGGGACTGATAGTGCTATAGTTAGCTATCCGATATATAGTGCTTTTCTGGTGAGCAAAGCACTGTGCTTTGCTTACCAGTTTGACATATACACTATGGCAACTAGGCCAGGCTCTCGGAATAGCTGCTTTTTTTTTTTTTTTTAAATAAAACATAGTAAATCTTCTCTGCTCATTCTTTTAAAGTGTTGTTCAATTTTATATTGCTAAGATGATTTTTACTTCTAAACTGCCATAACACACCTTGTTAATCTCAGTTCTTTTTAGTTTTATGCTCTTTATTAGGATGTTGTTTTATAGCTAGTGATGAAGCAGTAGTAAAACAGGGACTTAATGTTTCTACTGATTACTGCCCAATTATTGTATAGTGTTATGCGACATAACGTTTGCCCAATATCACTACAATCACTGCAGTGACTGTAATGCAGTATGATTGTATTAACTGTCTTTGGTGTGAGTGTTGTTCTGGCTTTCATGTTGTCTGGCTAAGGAGCTGCTTGGAGACTGCAGGCACTGCCATTTTGTGCTGTGCTTGGAGCCACGGAGGGTAGCTGTGCTTTTATCATAATACAAAAAGCAGAACACCACAAGTTGATTTGACTTTTCCATAGGCCCTGAAACACTCACTAAATCTGCAAATGGGTTCTTGTATTTTTTTGATTTATTGACAGAAGATGGGATCAAAGTAAAGAGCCTGATGTTTCAGAGGCTTCACAGACTTGCAGGGTGACTGGATTTTTTGCTTTGCTTCATGTTGTGATTTAACCTGGCCGGCAGCTAAAACAACCCCATAGCCATTCACTCACTCCCCCCTACAGTGGGATGGGGGACAGAATCGAAAAAAACCCCAAAACTCATGGGTTGAGATAAAAACAGTTTAATAGGACAGAAAAGGAAGAGAATAATAATAACAATAATGATAAAAGAATATACAAGTGATGCACTGCACAATTGCTTACCAACTGCTGATCAATGTTCAGCTAGTTCCTGAGCTGTGGCTCTTCCCAGCCAACTCCCCTCAGTTATATGCTGAGCATGACATCATATGGTATAGAATTTCCCTTTGGCCAGTTTGGGTCAGCTGTCCTGGCTGTGCCCCCTCTCAGCTTCTTGTGCCCCTCCTGCGGAAGGCTCCTGCCTCCTCGCTGGCAGGGCCTGGGAAGCTGAAAAGTCCTTGACTTAATTGTAAGCACTTCTTGGCAACAACTGAGCATCAGTGTGTTATCAACATTATTCTCATCCTAAATCCAAAACACAGCACTGTACCAGCTACTAGGAAAAATATTAACTCTATCCCAGCTGAAACCAGGACACTTCACCAGCTTTATTACCATCTTTTTGCTTCCCTGTGCTTGTGTTCTCAGGGCATATTCACCCTCTGCTTGAACATATATCCTCATGGCCAGAATAGATTTTTCTCGTCCTTTTTCCAAGTGTAGAATTAATGCTAAGGCATTTGGTATTGTTAAATGATAGGAGCTCGTTGAGTGAATGTTTTTTTGGTGCTTCCATCTGAGTGCGGGTTAAATAACTTGGTGCTTC